GAGCTCAGCGCGTCCTGGCTGGTCATCCCGGTTGTTCTTGTCGCGGGGACTGTGCTGCGGGCGCTGGGACGCTGCCCCTGCGGCTCAGCGCTGCCGAGCAGCTGGGTTTGCTCGTGGTGCCGCTTCCTGCAGCTGCTTGCGGGGATCTCCCGGCGAGGCGGGGGGGGGGGGGGGCGCCCCCCCCCCGCCGCACAGGCTCCGCTAACGTCCCTCGGCCACCGAGAGCCACCTCCCCGGCTCGGTTTCTGTTTCGCACCATCAGCCCGTCCCCGTCTCACCCTGTCTGGCCGTGACCAGCCCGAATCCGCTCCGCCTGCAGCCGACGGGCGGTTTTCCCTGTGCCTGAACTTCCCAGCAGCTGTGTGAGGCAGCCCAGGACACCCAAAGGGGCCGGGGGGACCAGAGCAGCCCCTCAGTGTGCTCGGGGGGACTGGGCTGGCACAGCAGCCAGGAGAGGGCTCCAGCAGCGTCCTCCCCAGCCAGTCTGAGCAGTCACACCCGCTGAATTCAAGTTCTCACAGCAAGTATTGCACCACTAGAACATCCCTGGGCATCCATAGTGCCCCTGAAGCATCCCTGAGTGTTTGTAGTGCCCATTAAACATCCCTGGGCATCCATAGTGCCCCTGAAGCATCCCTGAGTGTTTGTAGTGCCCATTAAACATCCCCGGGCATCCCCACTGCCCACTGCTAGAAGGCACGTGCAGTCAGTAAGACAGAGCCACAGCAGGTCCTGCACCCCTGTTCTGCAGAAGCAAAGAACTGATACCAGGAGCCCTTCCTAGGAAAAGAATTTCTTCTGTCTAGATGTAAATGAGGTTTTTGTAAATACCCAGGCAGTATCATTTATGTGGGCCTTTGTTTGCTGTCTCCACACGTCTGATGTTTCACATGCCTCATTCTGCAGCAGGTTTAACCCCTTGCACTTAGCAGAGCTGCAGAATTACAATGCTGTTCCAGACAAATCTGTCCAGTGCACTAGGAAACACAGCCCAGCTTCACCAGGAAGCAGATGATGCTGGTTGCTAAAACATTTCTACCTCCAGTGTACAAACATTTCAAGCCAACACACAAGCTCACCATAGATTAGATTGCTCTTACTATTCCCCAACAGGAGCAGCTGCCCTTTCTTACACTTGGATGAACTATTAGCCACCTATTTCCTTAAAAGTCTAAAGTCCAAGTATTTAACTCTTTTTACATCTATCACAGAAGCTAACAAAACTTTTACAAGAGGCTCCTGGTAACCAGCTGGTTGCTGTTGTGCAGCCACTGGAGCACAGAACAAACGGCAGCAGCTTTTCAAAGCAGTTTCTGTAAGGAGCATTACCCTGGTGAGCGAGCTGTGAGTGCTGCCCACAAAACCTTTACTCATCCTTGGCTGGCTTTTGAATAAAAGTCAGACCTAGAGTCATGCTTATCTCACATGCATGGCTGTGGTTTGAGCCCTTTTTCTGACACTTTCTCTGCAAAGGTTCCACCAGCCATGAGAGCTTCAAGCACTGCCACAGGCTGCTGCCTGAAAGTCAGGTGTGGGGGAGCAGCACCAGCTCCTTGCTCCTTCCCAGGGGAGGAGGGACAACGGGGATACACGGGGACTCCTCACCAGCTCTGCTCACCTTGTGCCTGGCCTGGGTTGCCAGGGGATGAGTGAACAGTGCCTGTCTGCAACACAAACCCCTTCCTCAACCTGTCGTGAGCATAAACACCACCTCCGTTTGGAGCCACTCTGGTCTGAGGCTTCCAGCAGAGCTGGGAAAAGCACCTAAGCCACTGGCAATAGTGCTGGAGAAGACTGTCTCCTTTGCACCCTGAGCTGTCATGAGCACTGACCTCCAGCTTGGCTCCTTGCTGCAGAGGCAAGACCCCCAAATCCATGCAGGCAGAGGGCAGTCCCTAGGGAAAGCTCTGGGCTGGATCTGAGGCTCAGGATCCACAGGGATAGGGAAGAAGGCAGGGAAAGCAGCCAGCAGCCACCCGCAGTTTCAGGGAGGGAGGCAGAGCAGAAGACACCGGGCAACACCTGGGGTGTTGCAACCAGAGCTGGCCCAATGTGTCTCAGAGGAGCAGAGGGGCACAGTGGGTACCCAAATTCTGGATCATCAAGAGGGGAGGGAAGCAGCCTGCCTTAAACTGCAAGGAGGATCGTTCTTCCCACCTGAGCTCAGCAGCTGGCTCCTCACCTTCACTCTGCTGCTGACAGCCCTTGTTCCAGGCAGGGAACTGTCTCCATCTCTGGCTGTGCAGCCCTGATTGTCCAGGGCAGAGCAGCTCAGCAGGCACACAACAGTGACATTGTCCTCACACTCACCTGATCTAAACCATCCTGAGCCTGTGAAAGCTCCATTCTCCCCAGTGACCCCATCCTGCTGGAGCGCTGCAGCGGAACGGTGGCTTCCTGTGCTTCCCTGGGCAAGGACAGACCCCAGCCCGAGCCCCCCAGCTGCCAAAAGCGTGGGGCTGGGCAGGGCCATGGGGACAAAGCAGGCAGGAGCTGTGGGTGGACGCTGCTGAGATGCAGATGCCATAAAGGGGCAACACACGGGGAGGTGAAATCCCCAGGCACACCAGGGCCATTTTGCAAGAGTGGACAACAAGCTGTGACAATTGAGTCAGCTGATCAGGCCAGGGACAAGTTGCCCTATGCCAGTGTGAGAAGCCCTTCAGGCAGAGGCCAGAAAATGTTCCAGGGGCTGAGTAATTGCTGCTCAGCCCATTCCACAGGAAAGCAAACTGAGGCATGGAAAGATAAAGCAGCACTCCTGCAGGTGCAGAGCTGAGGGTGGTACCCAGAACTCCTAATGGCGCATTTAATCCAACCCACAAAGCCAAAGCAGCCCAGTGGGGATGTCCAGTATGGGACAGTTGTTTCCATACGAGGGCATCCCAATTCCCAACCTGCTGTCACCAAGATGCAGTGCTTCTGCCTGCTTTTGGAGCCACCAGGAGCTAGGAACACCCTGTAAAGCAGTGATAGGGACAGACTACCATAACCTCAGGACCCAGCCAGGATTTGGCATGAGCCCCCCCTGCCCCTATGGCACCCACATGCCAGGGGGCAGGAAGAGGGTGGCTGTCACAGCTGGTCCTGCCTCTCCTCAAGCTCCATCCACCCTGTGACTCCTGGCTTTGCTCGTTCCGGACGTGGCTGGCAGAGCCGGCAGCGCTCGGTGCCGTAATTACCCACGGCCTCGCCTGGGCGGGCTGAGCCCAGTGCCCGGCTGGGGACGGATGTTTTCCTCATGACAGGATCCTCAGCAGGGCCCCACGATTTAGATCGAGCAGGCCCTGGTCAACCCAACCCAAAAGGAGCATGGAAAAACTATTCGGGGAGCAAGCGAGGGGGAGCAACAGGGGCTGGGGCCACCACTGTGCTGCTGCTGATGTGCTGGCAGGAGGTGCCAGAGAGCTTAGGCTGAGGAGCCCCATGGGTACCAAGCAGGTGCCAAGCACCTGTGGGACCCACCACAGTATCCCCTCCCCTCCCAGCCAGTGTGCCTGGCTGACAAATCCACTCCAGTGTGGAAAATCAGGGGAGGCCCCCAAGGCCTCCTGTGCCAGCCTAGGGCTGAGCCCAGGGATGCTGGTGGGCAGCCCTCCTGCCTCCGTGTGCCGGGGGCATCAGCCCCACGGGCAGCTCACCCTGGGTCCTTCTCCCCACCGGCAGCAACATGCTGCTGTGAAGCCAATGCCCCAGAGCACCAGAGGGAGAAGCCAGGCCCTTCACCAAAACCCAAGGGAAGCAAGTCCATACGGACACAGAACAACCCCCCGGTATCCCCCACTGTCCCGCGCTGGGGGAGCTGCCCGAGCCTTACCGGGGAGGTGTTCCCGTCCATCGGCCGCGGCGAGGCTGTGTGGGGCTCAGAGCTGGGGCACAGCCATCCTGCCCGAGCACAGCCAGCTCCCCGGGACGGGGCAGGGTCTGTTTGAGCGGCCTCGTACGTCAGTGCCAGCGCCGGCTGAGGAGGGAAACCAGTCCGACCTGCTGCCTGGCTCAGCTGCTGCCTGTTTCCCAACTGCTCCAGGCACGGCACAGCAAAATACCTCCCTGCGCTGGGGAACGCGGGGCAGGGGCAGCAGGAGCCCTGGGAGCTACCGCAGGTCCGGGAAAGGAGGTGGGACATAAAATTAACTGCCCTCGCCCACTCCAGAGCCTTTTCCACTCCTTGGCAAGAGAGCAAAGCTTTCACATGGTGTGAGAAGTTTGAGTTCTCTTCCTCTTCCTCTGTGGGCACAAGCTGGGAGATGCTTTGCTTAGCCCAGAACTCACACTTGGGAGGAACAGGTGAAAATATCCAGATTACAAGGAAAAAGGTCCAGCTCCATTTTGTGCTTTCTGATGTCCAGACATCTGGTTTCCCAGAAATGTAGCTGGTGCTTCACACAACCAGGCTGCTCCCAGCTTTGGCTGTTGCATGGATGAGCAGGTGCTGGGTAAGAAAACATTGCAGGAAACAGCCCTGCTCCTGCCTGGCATCAAGCCAAGTGATGGCAGCACATGGCTTGGCAGGGAGGAGGACAACATCTCCCATGGGATGGTCCCAGGACATCTGGCACTTTGGTGCCTCCCATGAGCGCTGTCCCAACACTGTTTTCCAGGCACATTTCTCCCAGGATTATTCATAGCATAAGTCCCTTATTCATCCAGCTCTCCACCCACACCTGCTCAGCGGAAGGCCAGGAGACAAGTAGGGCCATCCAAGCATGGATGTTCCAAGTGCCCTTGATTCCAAGGCTGAGAAGCCTGGAATGGATTCCACTGTCCCCTCCACCCTGCCCCTGGGCTCCCCATCCCATCACTTCCCAGAGGGATCAATCCCTGACCTTCTCCTGTGCACAGCCAGGGCCCAAACCCAGAGAGGGGATTGCCGAGCTGAGAGGAGATGGGTACCTGAGTCCATCCTGATCACAGAATCTGAGGGGTTGGAAGGAACCTGGAAAGATCATCCAGTCCAACCCCCCTGCCAGAGCAGGATCACCCAGAGCACATCACACAGGAACGTGTCCAGGGGGGTTTGCTCTGTCACTCCCACAGTAACAAAGTTTTTTCTGATGTTTACGTGGAACTTCCTATGTTCCAGTTTGCACCTATTGCCCCTTGTCCTATCACTGGACATCCCTGAAATAAACCTGGCTCTGTCCTCCTGACACTCGCCCTTAGCTTATTTATAACTTTTATCCTGGTGTTTACTCCCATTTTCTTCTGGCAAGGTCACTGCGGGGGCAGCTCCAGGAATGATTGCTTGCTGATGTTTCTCCAAAACCACCTACAGAAAGCAAGTTACAGAGAACTGTGTTTCTGGGGTTGACCCCAACAACCTGATGTTAAATGTCGTGTGTGCACAACACCTCCTGGGTGAAATTCTCACCCTTTCCTGCTGGTAACTGCTCCTCTGAGCCCTGCTGCACCCTCCCAGCCAGCACACGGAGGTGCTAATAGCATGTACAGCCAAAGCCAGCTCCACCAGCCCAGAGGCTCCTCTGCTCCATCCTCCAGGCATGAGGGAATTGGGAAGGGCAGAGGATAACTCTGCCCTTCCAGGCAAGGCACTTTGTCCTGTGGCAGAGCTGTGCTGGTACAGAACCAGCCCTCTGGCCACTGCAGGGTGTGGGACAGGCTAGGCAGGAGGGAGGATGGAACTGAGGACCTCTGCTTTGCCCCTGCAGCCCCTTCTAGTGCCCAGGGCTAGTGCCTGGCAGGAGGGTGCTGGAGGAAGCTGGGCACAGGGTTGGGGGCTGCAGCTTCAGCCCTCACTGTCCCAGAGTAGCTGCAGAGGTTCTGGGGAAAGACCTGCTCTGTGGTTCTGACTCAGGTGGTTTCAGGTTATTAAAATCAAGGCTATCTCTATTCAAAGATTAGTCAATTATTTTGAAGATAAAGAGAAAACTCAACAGTGTTCTTGAGGACTGGTTTGGCCCATGAACTCAAAACCTCTCCTGCCAGCACAGAACATGGAGCTGCTCTTTGCTATGATGCTTTGGGTGGTCAGCAGGGCCTGATGCAGAGCTGGTCTGTGGTCATTGCTGGGGCTGCAGGGGCTGGACGTGCCGAGGGACAGGGCTGTGTGCTGGCTGGGGGCTCCTCTGCTGCCTGCCTGGGGCTGGGACCCCCTCCCCTCCCTTCCCTGTGAGACCACTGCTCCCCCCAGGGCCCCTCCCTGCAGAGCTGGGGGCAGCAAAGGCAGCACAGGGACATGAATCCTGCAGCTTCCAGGACACCAAAAGGTATTTAGTGGAGGAAGAGGGAAAACACTGACAAGGCAGGGAGCCTGGGCAGCATTAGCACCACAGGCAGCATGTGGGGACACCAGCTGCTCCCACAGAACCCGGCAGTGCCTGTACCCATGTAGCAGCACAGGGCTGTGCACTTCACCACCTGAGTGTTCAGCAGAACTGTCATTTCTCCTCAGGCTGTTTCATTTTCCCCTCAACTGCCAACCTTTTCTCCCAAGCCTCTGAACTGCCTCACCTGCAGGACCAGCTTGGCAGTCTCTTTTCCACAAAGCTCCCTCCTTCCTCATTTCTGGTCCCACCACTGCTGATTTTCACTCCTTTACAAGGAACAGGAGCTGTGGCTTTGTGTGGGATGGGCTGTGCTTCATCTCAGGACTCCCAAATTCAGTGGTGGCCAGATCTGACTCATAAGCTGAGAGCAGAGTGACAGAAAACCAGCAGGTCTCCTAAGGAGAGGAGAATAAAGCAAAGCCAGGGAGGGGAGCTGAGGCTGCCATCCCTACTGACTGGCCATCAGCAGTGGAACAGTCATTGCTGAGGGAGACCAGCACTGAGCCCCATGGCCAGATCCCCCATAGCCCCAGTGGAGCAGAGCCAAAGCCAGGGTGTCTCTGGGTGCCAGGAGAGCCAGGCATGGCACCACGCTGTGCCTGAGGTCCTGCTGCCAGCCTCAGCAGCACCACTGCTGAATTTTCTGCTGCTCTGACAAGGCTGCAAGTTCCTGGAAGCCCAGGAGCTTTAGCAGGAAAGATGAGTCAGGGGATGGACTCTGTTCAGAGTCAGGGAAAAAAGCAGAAATCCCCGCTTCAGGCATTTAAGATGACTCTTTGAGGAGCAGCTCTGCTGTAGCAAACTGAGTCTGACTCTCTGCTCACCAAGCCAGGGCCTTCTCTGAAGCTTCCCAAGGCTGTCCAGAGCACTTTCAGTTTCTCTTGCTCTTTTATCTGTGTCCTTTCCACAAACTCCCCAGCGGGAAACTCCTCTGAGACAAATTGCCTTCTGTAGCAGCACAGGGCTGTGCACTTCACCACCTGAGTGTTCAGCAGAACTGTCATTTCTCCTCAGGCTGTTTCATTTTCCCCTCAACTGCCAACCTTTTCTCCCAAGCCTCTGAACTGCCTCACCTGCAGGACCAGCTTGGCAGTCTCTTTTCCACAAAGCTCCCTCCTTCCTCATTTCTGGTCCCACCACTGCTGATTTTCACTCCTTTACAAGGAACAGGAGCTGTGGCTTTGTGTGGGATGGGCTGTGCTTCATCTCAGGACTCCCAAATTCAGTGGTGGCCAGATCTGACTCATAAGCTGAAAGCAGAGTGACAGAAAACCAGCAGGTCTCCTAAGGAGAGGAGAATAAAGCAAAGCCAGGGAGGGGAGCTGAGGCTGCCATCCCTACTGACTGGCCATCAGCAGTGGAACAGTCATTGCTGAGGGAGACCAGCACTGAGCCCCATGGCCAGATCCCCCATAGCCCCAGGGTGTCTCTGGGTGCCAGGAGAGCCAGGCATGGCACCACGCTGTGCCTGAGGTCCTGCTGCCAGCCTCAGCAGCACCACTGCTGAATTTTCTGCTGCTCTGACAAGGCTGCAAGTTCCTGGAAGCCCAGGAGCTTTAGCAGGAAAGATGAGTCAGGGGATGGACTCTGTTCAGAGTCAGGGAAAAAAGCAGAAATCCCCGCTTCAGGCATTTAAGATGACTCTTTGAGGAGCAGCTCTGCTGTAGCAAACTGAGTCTGACTCTCTGCTCACCAAGCCAGGGCCTTCTCTGAAGCTTCCCAAGGCTGTCCAGAGAACTTTCAGTTTCTCTTGCTCTTTTTATCTGTGTCCTTTCCACAAACTCCCCAGCGGGAAACTCCTCTGAGACAAATTGCCTTCCATCAGATGGCCCTGGGCTCACACAGGCCCCAGGAAAGCCCTGAAGCACGTGCTGCCGTAGCTCAGCCTGCCACAAGGCTCAGCAGAGGACTCACAGTCAGCTGGGTGGCAATTCAGGTCTTAGTGTCACCACACAGCCCCCTCTGCCATGCTAGACCTCACAGCTTACAATGCCACCCAGGTGTGCTGGTGTTTGCAGGGCACAGAGGTTGTCACTCAGCCACAGAAACAGGGAAAGGAAAGCTGGGGGCTGGAGCAGGAGGGTACAGGCCGAGTCCAACAGAAGGGAAAGCCTAGAAAAGAAACTTATGCACATAACCAACCTCTTCCACTTCTTATTCATTTCAGTCAGCCTTGAAAAATGTATACATTGGAATTAGTTCATGTATAAGGTTGATGCTGACCTGGCCATCTTCAGCTGCTGGAAGGACAGGACAGTGGCCCAAGGGGCCCTGGTGCCCTCAGGGCTGATGCTCACCCCCCTGAGCTGTGCTCTCAGCATCTCCTCAACCAAGGAAGAAGCAAAGACTGTTTACTCCCATTTTCCCTTTCCCAGCAGCGTAGCGATATGTTCAGAAAAGCCCCCAGAGCCCTTCCTTGAAGGCTGCTTGTAGGAAATGCCCAGCCTGGGCTGCGAGATTCGCTGTGGCTGAGTGGGTGGGCGGTAGAGAAAAGTGGAAGTCTCTGCGCAGCTACTTTCCTCCCGCTGCGCTAACGCCTCCGAGACGTCACTGTGCCAGCCCCCGGGGGAAAAACAAGGGCTCGGCAGCCCTGTGGAGGAGAGCCCAGCACCCTGCTCGCCCAGACCAGCACCCCCAGAGGATGCGCCCAGAGAGAGCCCCACGGCTCCCAGAGGGACGCCCAGAGAGAGCCCCACGGCTCCCAGAGGGACGCCCAGAGAGAGCCCCACGGCTCCCAGAGGGACGCCCAGAGAGAGCCCCACGGCTCCCAGAGGGACGCCCAGAGAGAGCCCCACGGCTCCCAGAGGGACGCCCAGAGAGAGCCCCACGGCTCCCAGAGGGACGCCCAGAGAGAGCCCCACGGCTCCCAGAGGGACGCCCAGAGAGAGCCCCACGGCTCCCAGAGGGACGCCCAGAGAGAGCCCCACGGCTCCCAGAGGGACGCCCAGAGAGAGCCCCACGGCTCCCAGAGGGACGCCCAGAGAGAGCCCCACGGCTCCCAGAGGGACGCCCAGAGAGAGCCCCACGGCTCCCAGAGGGACGCCCAGAGAGAGCCCCACGGCTCCCAGAGGGACGCCCAGAGAGAGCCCCACGGCTCCCAAGATCCCAGCACCGGGCTGGGAACCAAGGCAGGGGAAGGCAGGCATTTGAGCTGCTGTGGTTAGAACTGCAGCTCAGACACAGCCAGGGCTCCCTGCTCACCACTCACCTTTCTTTGCTCTTTGGGAGCCTGCAGGCTGTGTTAGTCCTCAGGCACCAACCTGGCTTATCTCCAGTAGTCTGGACCCACAGAGGTGCTGGGGTGAAACGCCGCAGCTTGGTGCTGTGCTGACAATTCTCCTCCCCAGGCACAGCTTCATGTCTGCTGGCAGACAGCAGCTGCTGAGGAAACCAGCACAGAAAGGGTGGCAGATGTTATCAAGCCAGGCTTTGCTGCCAGGTGACAGTATTGAACTGCAGGCAGGAGGTGTGAAAAAGCTTGTTCCTTCTTGACAGCAGATGAGCAAAACAGGAAAGCTGAATCCAAATAGAGCCGAGAGCAGATGCAGGGCTGGGCAGGGATGCAAATACAGTAGGTTTCTTTCTTGGGTCCGAAAAACATCAAGATCCTCTCAGCTGGGCTGAACATTACCCACAAGATGAGGAAGGGGATGAGTAGTTGGAAGTGGGATAGTCCCAGGAAAATCCTTGCACTTTCTGAGTGGGTGAGTGGTGCCGCTGAACACAGGGGCTGAACTCCAGGTGAGTCCTTGAGGCAGCAATCACAGAATCATAGAATTATTAATGTTGGAAGGGACCTTAAAGATATTCAGGTCCCAATGGCAATGGCAGGGAGGGGACCCCTGGGCAGCCTGGCCCAACACTCACCCTCAGTCCTGCAGGTGAGAAGCGGCTGCCCAAACCCCGGGAGGTGCGCTTTGCTGCCGAGATCGCCCATCACCTGCTGCGCTGGGAGCCGGGACACGACAGCCCCAGCGACGTCTGCTACGAGGTGGAGCACAAAGTGTGAGTACAGCCACGGGGCTCAGCCCTGCCCGGGCTCTGACACCAACCAGGGTGACAACACAGTCTCTGGTAGCTGCCTGCACTGCTCTGACCCTGGGCTCTTCTCCCTGCAGCTATGGCACAAATTCCTCCTGGACACCCATCCCAGACTGCATGAAGATCTCAGGGCACTCCTGCGACCTCACGTACTACACTCTGGTCCCTGCCCTGCGTTACTATGCACGGGTCAGGGCTGTGTCAGGGAACCACACGTCCCCGTGGCAAAGGACCAATGCTTTCTCCCCACAAGAAGGTAGGTCGGGTGCCAGGAGGCTTGGGGGATGGCAGAGCTTGGGGTGCCAAACTGCTTGGGAGGAACTCTGGGACACAGGAGAGCAGGGATATCTCTTCCTCTTGCCTGGAGGACAGCTGTGGGATAGAATGGGACAAACCTTGGGCAGGTGGCACTAGCTGTGAGGAACAGCCACAGCTCAGCCTGCTGTTGCAAACTGAACACCCTAACGTGCTCTTCCAACCGACTCGTTTGCAGCCAGCCTGCGCCTATCAGGCCAGAGCCTCTCTGTGAGGGGAAACACCATCCATGTGCAGCTGCAGCTGCTCCTCCGGGCAGGAAACCTCACTGTGAAATACGACGACATACAGAAGCACACGAGGCAGTACCGGGTGTACGTCAGGAGGGCGCAGGACAACAGGACGGTGAGATGAGTTGCTGTCTCCGTGCTGTCCCCATCTGTCACACGCAGCACTGCTCAAGTTGAAAAACACACCTTTTGAAGTACAGTCTTTCATAAAACTCAATTTTGAGCTTTATCAGGGCCACAACATCGCAGAGAGATTTCTCTGCAGGTTTCGTTGCAGCAGGTTCCCCAACTCTTGCTGGGGGTTTGGGTCTCGCTGCCGCCAGCAGCCTTGCTGAGCAGCCTGGGCAGCTTCCCCAGGAGATGCTGGAGGAGGAGGGAAGAAAGCAGGGGGCCCAGCACTCCCAGAGGAGCTGGGGGCTCTCAGGTACCAGCCTGTGCTCTGCTCATTGCAGTTCGAAGAGGTGAAGAAGGCCCCGGAGTTCGTCATCAGCAACCTGTTCTGGGACACGGAGTACTGCGTCAGCGTGGAGCCCGAGGTGGCCAGCCGGCGCACCCGCGCCGCGCGCACCGCCGAGCAGTGCCTCGCCATCGGGCACAGACACGGTACGTGGGGGCAGCCGGGGAAGGGAGGTTCTGCGGGACCTGGATCCACACCAGGGCAGCTGCTCCATGCTTTCGTGCTACATGCACTGAGGGCTCTGCTGTTCCCCCCCTCACCTGAGCATGTCCTTTCTTGCAGGGAATGCAGAGCTGGTCCTGAGCATCCTCAGCTTCTCCTTCATCACCCTGCTGATTTTGGGCCTCCTGGGAGCTCTGCTGGCCTGCACCTACATAAAGAAACCCATGAGGCCACCCTCTGTCCTGGTAAGGGTGGGCACATGGCACCTTTTGTGGCCAGAGCAAAGCTGCAGGCTTGGGTAGCTGTTATGAGAGGCACGGATGAAGCACAGCTCATGTCTTCTTTTTCTCTCCCTCCCAGAAGTCTTTCATAAAGCAAAGCCCGTTCTGGGTGGACCAGGAGTCCCCATCCTCAGGCAGCTCAGATGCAGATGCTGTCCAGCAGCTGTTCCTGTGCCAGAAGGAGCCCCAGAAGGACAGCAGCCCCAGCACAGCCCAGCTGCCCCTGGAGAAGGGCTGGAAGCTCCCGGCATGGCCTGAGGACCAGCTGTGCCTTCTGGGTCTGAGAGCCATGGGGAGCAGGGACAGCAGCTGCACCAGCACCGACAGCGGCATTTGCCTGCGCAGCTCTGATCCGAGCTGCTCCTCAGGCCACAAGCCCCAGGGCTACAAGCAGCAGGTTCCCACTGGTGACGACAGTGGCGTGGGCTTGGGGAGCTCCTGCCCCTGCCCCACCTGCCCCTCCAGCAGCGGGATGGCCAGCGAGCCCCTTGAAGCAGAGCTCAGCCCCTCCACCCTCCAACAAGCCATGGAGTTCCATGGGTACCTGCAGCAGTCCCAGGGTACACAGGAGCTCCAGCAGGACCCAGACAAGGGGGTGCCCTTCCTGGGCCACCCAAGCACCATGGACATCGTGCTGGGTGCAGAATGCTCTGAGCTGCCTGTGGCCAAAGGGTACTTGAAGCAGTCCTCTCCGGAGCAGCTCTACAGCCACACACAGGACCTTGCTCCCTGGGGGGCCCTGAGCTGTGGGGCTCCAGGTGCCCCCTTGGACTCTAAAGCCAGCCCTGAACTGAAAGCTCCTTTCAACCTGAGCATCTTCAACACTGACCTCCTGGGGACGCTGCCCCTCATCTCCAGCCTCAGCACCAACGAGTGGCTGCAGCTGCAAATCCAGCCCCTGAACCTGCCCAATGGGGACAGCAAGGACAGCCGCCTGTGAGCCACCCCGTGCCAGGGAGCTGGTGCCCACCAGCCCACCTACCTCTTCTAACCCCTGCTCATGAGGAGCAGCTCTTCTGATAAGCTACCACCGACCCCTGAATGTTCGTGCCTCAACACCAGCAGTGCCCTGGCTGAGAGTGGCCCGAGAAGCACCAGCTCAGCTACTTGTGGGGCTGCCTTGGCCCTGGCACTGCTGCACACCCTGCACCTTCTCTCCAGCCAGTCTCCAGTGGAAAGCTAATGAGACATGGGGATGGGATGTGCTGGAGGGGCTCCCCCCTCCTCTAACCACCGGGAGGATACACACCAGGACGTGTCTGCCCAGCCTGGGGGGGACACTCACTTCCCTCTTTCACTAGCTCTTTCAGCTGACGTCTATGTTGCTGATTCCATCCAAACGTTTCACAACACAGACACTGAAAACAAAGAGCAGCCTGACGTCAGCCATCCTACTGCTGGGAACAAGGGCCTCCCACACTGGAGGGAGTGAGGGACTTTCCTGACCCTACAGAGACCCTTCAGCCCCTATGGTCCAGCTGTGGGGCACTGGCTACCTCTGATGTGTGCAGGTTGCCACAGGAGTCCAGCAGGAGCCAGGGCAGCCCTGCCCACACTATGGTGTGTGTTCTGCCACTATTGCATACAGATGTTATTTATTCTATTTAATTTGTAAATACAGAAAGGATGTGGTGTTATTTGTTTGGTCCATTCCTCTGTACAGCCTCTCCTAAGGTCAAGCTGTGCTTTCCATTTTTAAACAGGGACTCTTCCCTGCAGCAAAGGGCAATGTGCCTTTGACTCACACAGGAAAGAGCATTTCCACATCACAGCTGGGGAAAAAAGGAGAGCAAAGGCAGCCCCACCAAGAGCTTCACTCTTACCTGAGGACCAGGGCAGCTGTCCCAGGCAAGTGTTGGTGTGGGAGCAGCAGGGAAAAGGCAGTGGGCAGCTTGTGGTGATTTCACCAGGTGTACGGGACCAGACACCAGGGAAGGACAAGAGCCTTTCCAGGGCAGAACCAAACAGGTCAAAACGCAGGAGGTGGGGGAACAGTTTCTGTAAGAATGGAAACAAGCATGAGAAGGAAACAATTTACCCTGGGCTGCATTTCCAGGTCACCAGAGAGTTTTTGCAAAAGTTACTTCATTTCCAAGAACCTTCACAGTGGAATAGCCCCCTTAAAACTGCTGGTGGAAACCCAGCTAGGGGAGTGCCTTTTTTTCAGGTGAAAGCATGAACCACAGCAGCCGGGAGCAGGGCTGTTGCTGCAGGGCTGGGTTTCCTCCCATTACGTCTGACGTTGCCCATCATGAGCATCCGCTCCCGGCGTCACTAGGGCTGAGACCAGGGCTTGGTCCTGGCCATGGTTGTCCAGCCACAGCACCAATGCCTCTGCATCCTCCTCTCCTTCCATTTCCATCTCATCTCTTCTGCCCCTGAGTGTTTTGGGGGTTGAGGCTTTTTTTTTTTTTTTCCTGTTCAACTTCCTCTGAAAAGCAGAGTCACCCAAACTAACCGTGATTTGTAAATGTGTATTTTTCTTCCTTTTCCGTGCCCTGATCTCAAGCTCTGTGGCCAGATCCCTTCCTGCTTGCCATAAAAGGCTCCAGCTGGCAGCCCCGGGGCTGAGAGGGGTGGCATTTCCCTCCCCCACTAGCCCCACAGCCAGGGCTCTCCTCTCAACCAAACCCAGAGGAGTTTCCCAGAAAGCCACAGCACTCAAGCTTCACCAGCCACGGGCACGGGCAGGACCTCCAGCTCTCTGGAAATCCCAGGTGCTCACATTTTCCTGATTTAAGACATAGCCTAGAGCACAGAGGACACTTGGCTCTCCTCTTCCAGCTCCTTGGAACTTCCATCACCAGATTTCCCTACCTACAGCCACAAGGTGTCCTGAGTTTATTTTCCTTCTGAGAAAAGTTTGTGAAGCAGCAAAGTCCCAAAGCCCCTGTGCCCTGCCAGTCCCCACTGCAGGCAGGTACCCATTCCAATGGTCACAGCAGCTTTTTTGGGGCTGCTCTTGGCTCCAGGCACTTCCATAGGCCCTGCTCTGCTGAGGTTGAAGGCAGAGCCCAAGAAATCCCACAGGGGCTTTTTCTGAGGTGTCCATTTGCACTGTCAGTGTGAAGGACAAATTTCCACACTAGTCCAGATATTTGACCAGGAGCGAAGTCTGAAGCAGTTTCATTTCCTTATGGCATTTTCCCCTGTTGCACAAAACCAGCCATCCAGTTCCTGTGGTTCATTGCTGCCCTTTTTAGGCTAGATCCCTGCACTCCCCTTCTCCCTGCTTCACCAACAGCCTGGTCCATGGTCTCCTGGGCCTGCAGCTGGCTGGTCCTGAGGGCCAGGGTGTCTCTGAGCCATAGCACTCCATGGGGAAGGCATCTTTTCTCTCCAGGATGCATGCTGATGGAGCCTGGAATAAGGCAGCTCCCTGGTCCTCCACCTCAGGCAGGGGGAAGCTGCTCCAGAGCACTGGCATGGGGAGAAACAGGTGGCCTCAGACATCTTCCAGCATGGTCCATGGCCAGGGAGGGCCAGTGAGAGAAACACAGAAAATGGAGAAGTTCTTTTGAAAAGAGAAACTGCACGGTTCCATTTTTAGTAGAAGAAATCCACCCCATTCAGGGGAGGTTTTTTAAAGAAGCAACAAGAACAGAGGAATTCCCCCACAGCTGGGTTTTCATTGCTCTTTCTGTTGTCACTGGAAGGTGGGTGGGAAGCAGCACAGGGATGTGGCATCAGGAGCACATGGCTCCAGCTTCCTTCACCCCAACCAGATGCCTGGTCCCAGGCTGAGGATCACGGGGCACAGGAAGGAAATGCAAACCAAAGCCTGCCTGGGGGGAAAGAAAACCAGAGCCCAGGGAAAGCCCCTGATGCCCCACAAACCTGGGGAGGACTTTTGCAGGAAAAACCTTGGGACTATCCCAGGGAAAGCTGTGATGACCAGGGGCTCCAAGGAGGCACAGCAGCTCTTACCCTGGGCTCCCTGCAGAAGCACCCACTGCTGAAACCACCCTGAGGCAGCTGGGGGCTGGGCAGGGGGCCATACAGCCAGGACCCACTCACCCATCACCAGGCAGGGAGAAGCAGGGTGATGTCCTACCTGCATCCAGCCTGGCTCCCACTTCATGGCCCCTGCTCATGGAAAGGCAGGTAGCTGCTCCCTGCCTGGCTCAGCAAGCCACTGATGCTGAATGGTGGCACCAGCTCCACTGCCACTGGCCCCAGCCCACTGCAGGGAAGGCAGATATCAGTAAGGTGTCTGCTCCAGTCCTTATCTGCCCCTGGAGTGGGGCTGCTCCCAACAGCCAGGGCTCCCCAGGGCACCTCTGTCCCATGCAAGCAGCACCTGCATTGCAACACCTTGCCCTGGTGCAAAGGGAGCACCCAGCCCACCCTGTTCCCTCGTGGCCTCACTCACCGGGTGTGGTAGAGGTTGAAGACAAAGCTGGGCCCTGAGGAGGTGGGAAGAAGAGGTGTCAGAGCCCTGCAGTACCATGAACTCACCATCACTTTGCTGTGAGTCTGTGCACTGGCACAGCCAGCCACAGCAGGACATCCCTGTGCATCCCCTCCTCACATGCCACAATCCTGCTCAGGAGCCATCCTGTAGGCAGGTTCCCCAGCCCCCTGGGACCAGCAAATGTCAGATGTTCTCCCCACATCCCAGGCCCTGCTGCCCATTCCTTTGGAACTCTCCCTGCCCCTCCCCATGCCCTGCCCGTACTCACGGTGCCAACACCAGCCCCTCTGGTACCACCGGATGAAGCCGTAGCAAAAAAACACCAGGACCAGCAAGGCCAGCCCCACACCCAGGATGATCCCAAGTGCATTGATGGGCTCTTGTCCTGTAAAGCAGAGGCAGAAAGGGCACTGCAGATGAACCCCTGTGGAGGGCTGAGGGTTCTGCTCATCCCCAGGGGGAACAGGACCACAGTGGGGCTGGGACCTGCATCCCACAAGGCTGATGAGCATTGTGGCACAGAAGTTTTTGCTACACCCAAAGCCCCATGCTGGACTCTTGGTCACACAGTCACCCCTCCTCAGTCCCTGGGAGGATGGTGACCTGGGAAGGGAGGGAATGGCTCTAATGAGTATCCCACATCATCATAAAAGCAGGATGCTCTCCTATTCCTGCTCCTGCCCCAGGTAGGAACTCACCCAGGCCCCCAGCAGGCAGCTCTGGGCTGTGCCCAGGGTTAATCACATTGTGCTGGGGTGGCCTGACCACCCTAATGGAGCCTATATCCCCACTCCTGCTCCCGTGCACACTCTTCTGGGGTGAAGCACCTTCCTCAGCTGCCCAGGGAGCTGCTGCTGATCAGGGTTTAGCCATGCAATTCAGCGGCAGCTCTGGCAGCAGAAGTGCAGGCAGGGCAGGAAGGGAGCAGAGCACAGGGCCAAGGTGACACTGACTGGCTGCAGCTCCC